ACTGAGAACATGGTCCTAATGGTAGAGGAGGGCCCAGATGCTCATGTTTATCCTGACGTAAATTGTCTTTTTATGATGGGGAAAGCCATGTTGAAATTATGTCATTTTAAAAGAATTTATTAAAAGGTATTGCACACAGGCCATGGAGGAAGCAAATGGTTCTCTGCTGAAGAGCTGGAGGATGGATTTATTTAACTCTGGGAATGGCCTTTGTGACTGCACGCTGGCACTCCAGACTCTGGCCCTCGTCCTGGGCAAGCTCCTTACCTTGCCACAGCTTTGGTCCCAGCTTAGGAAAGAGAAAAGAGAATCGTGCCTTGGCAAGGACTCAGTTCTGGAGGGAACAAGGTCTTAACCTCAAGCTTCTTTCTCAGGTAGAGGGTCCCCAAGAGCTCCCACTTCAGTGGTTTTACAACTCACGATCCATGAGAAAGTTTATGGGGCATCTCCCTGTAGATTACCATGTTTTCTCAGAGGTAAACACCAGGTGGTGGTCCTGATTCCTGAATTCCACACGCTAAGCTTTCATCAAGTACCCTCTCCCAATGAAGCCCTACTTTTTTAAATTCCCACTTTCAAGACATTAAGACAAAGCTTGCTCCTCCTTGTTGGGCTGAAAGTGGCTTTCCTGGGCAAGGGCAGGGGAGGGTGGGGATGAGGATCAACACCTCATCCTTGGAGTTGCCCTTCCACGGCCTCAAGGAATTATCATGGGTTACTTTTGGATGGTGATCAAAAAAAAATTATTCACCACTGAAAATCCTGAGCTCTAATTAAATTGCCTGGGTGGTGATTCAGAGAACATCACACTCTACCTTTCTGTGGGAATGTCAGGTGCTGGGTCACTCTGACCAGACAAGAGGAGAGAGAGAAAACAGAGTGATGCCCTCCAGATGCAGGGACGCAGCCAGTGAGGGGCTTGCTTGCCCTTCTGTCTGAGCTACGGCCAGCAAGGTGGGCAGCACAGCCTTGTGCTGAGTCCTGGGACAGACAGAAATGCTCTCCCTGCCAACCCCACAGCCCACCAGATCGATGGGCCTCCCCAGTGGCTCCTCTGCCTTGTCTTTATCTCCAGTTATAAAGCAGTGCCAGGTTTTCTTGTCAGCCACCGCCATGTCTCCAAATGGCTTTTCAGTGTCAAGCCCATCAGGAAATTAACTCATCATGTGGTGACAGCTGCTAATTTTTCCCCCTTCCATGTCAGATGGATCGCCCGCTGAAGCTAATCATGAATCACCCATCTCTGATTAGAAGGTGCTTCCGAAATGTATAACTGCCACATGAGCTAACTTTTTCTCCATGTAAAATGATATTACCCTAGAGGAGGAGAAAACGAATTGCATTCTCCAACACGATGGACCAGGAGGAGGCTGCTTAGATTAGCTTACGCCCTCTTAAATTATGGGCTAATATTAAACCGAAAGAGAAGTAACAGGGCAGTTCCTTGGTGTGCTAACCGAATGGCCTTTCTTGCTCCCCAGCCCTATTCCTATGACCAACTCCAGGTTAGAACCCTAGGCTGACTCAATTGTCTCCTTAGGTCATCACTTCATTTTTATAACCAGGAAACAAGTGTGATAGACACGGATACTTTATGTGGTTGTGAGATTTCCTAGCTGCTGCGCTGGTGGGAGCAGGGTGGCTCCTCAGACGGGTGCTGGGTGGGGCTGCTGGGCCTTCATGGAGTCCTGGCTGATTTCTAGGTGGAGATGGAACTAAGATGAACTAAGGCTCTAGCCTCCATCTTCTAAGACTTTGACAAAGTTTCTTTGCTCGACCAAACTTTAGTCTGATACATCTCCTGGGCCCATCTGGGGACCTCCTTGTTAAATATCCATTGAACAAGACACCTGCTAAGTAGATATGGCCAGGACCCCCACTTGAATATCTGATTTCCTAGGAATCTAGTTGGGCTCTCTTTATCCTCCATCTACCTCCTGCTCCCAGATAGTTCCTGCTTATGATGCCCTCAGTGGGAATGCTGTTTGGTCAGCTTAGTGAGTCCCCTGCTCTCGGATGTTTATTTTTAGTAATTTTCTGTCACCCAAAGCCCACCCTAACCTCCTCCTTAGCTTTAGAACTGAGCTCAGCTCTATCCCAAGAGCTCTTTTCTCTTATTCCAAATATCTTGGATAATGTTTTTCCATCTGTCACCACTATCTGGCTCTGGTTTTTCAGACACTTTAAATTGGTGAGAGGGATTCCCAAAGCCTCACTGACCCAGTCTTAGTACATATGCTAATATATACTTGGTCTTTCAAAGGAAACCAAGACGTGAAAGTCTCATTCTTTGCATCAGGAGGTACAGGCTGCCTAGTCTGCTTTGTGGTAGAGATGCTTAGCATCACCCATCCTCTTTTCTAACTATGCAACTCTCCAGGGAAGGCTGAACCCTTCCAGAAAGATGCCCATGAGCCATAGCCCTTTATGGTGAAAGTCCTGTCCAGAAATGGCCATTGTACTTTCTGACCCTCCACCATCAACAGCAAGCAATGAATAACTTTCACCATGGAAGGTGAAAGCTAAACCATGTCCACATGTTAACTTGGAAAATCACTTTTCCTTGCATGCAGACATGCTTAGGGCCGATCATCCAATCTACTGTAGCGTAATATAAACATGATCTTTTGGGGTAACAATCTCTAAGTAAATATGTCATTGGCTTGGCTTTTTACTTCTTTACAATTGTCAGATTCTCTAGCAAAAACCTGAAGAAAAGCTACGCGCTTACTGCATCGTCTTTATAGACAATCCATTCTGCAATGAATGTCCTTTGCTTGCAAACCCCGCCACGCCTCATTATTCTGAGGCACACATTTGTGTATGTGCTTCTTAAACTCCCTTACATTCCAATAGTTGTGCAATGAGAGAGAAAAGAGAGGTAACATTAACCTAGCTCTAGAGGTAATTACAGGATACAATGGCTTGGAGAAGCCTCTGCAATCTTTCTCGGCCTAGAAACACCTTCTGAACAAATTTTTTTTTTTAATTTTTTTTTTATGCAAAGGCCTGCTCTTTTCATTGTGCATACAACGTGATTGCTGGTTTGACACTGCAGGCTACAATGGTTTTATGAAGGATTAAATGCCACCTGAGACATATTTATCCTAAATAAATCACAAACGGTAAACTGCAGCATGTCAGTGTCAACACCCTGGACTGCAGCGGAAAGGTTAGCCATACAGGGCTCGGCACAGGCAGGAATTAGCATCGAGACTCAGGACCGCAGGGCTTCCGCCAACGGGAGAGGTGATCAAGAAGAAATATTTCCCTGAAAAACACCCCTTCCCCCCCTTTTTAACATGTATGAGGAGCCTGGAGAGGGCCATCACTTTGTAAAGGTCACCTCTATCCTGATAACAAACGGGAGTTGATCCTGTCACTGTTTGGCAAAGACCATGTTTAAGAGAGCTGAGTAGCCCTGCCATTTTTAGGAAACATGAGCTAGTCACACTCAGCTAATTATGAGTCTCCATTTCAAACCTCAAGTTTTGCCTTTTCTTATTATTTTGCCTGGAGGAGTGGCTGGGTATAGAGAGGTGGCCCTGGAATGGACAGAACTGAAGGCAAAGAAGCCAGAAAGGGAGAGGGCCAGGCCCCGGTGGTGCCCGCCTATTGTCCCAGGAAGGGATTTTAAATGGCATTTATACTGACAAGACTGGCATCTTCTCATCTCAGCCCTGCTCTTCATAGTTTCCATATACAAACCATGAGAGAATGTTACTGTTGCCAGCATGTGCCTGGGTCATTTGCCAAACACTTATGAAACGGCATCAGGCTGCAGGAGCTGTCTGCCAGATATGCAAGTGGAGGGAGCAAAGAGGGAGAAACCACCTTGGCAGGCTGGCAGGTGTGACCACAGCTGCTAGCTGACCACTCAGAGCACATTACCACCCACATTTTAATGATATAATTTTATTTCAAAGAAAACAACAAAAACAACTTTGCCTTTAAGGGAGGGGATTATTTTACAGTTAAAAAAAAAAAATAAGAGCAACGGTATCAAGAAACAAATTACTGGAACATAAACTTGCATCCAGCAGTTGCAGCAAAACCACAATGAACAGGCAATGCTGGGCACAGGGCAGTGGGGGCAAGGGTTCTATTGTTAATGTTTAATGCCAGCTTTTGCATACTGAGACAATCACAAATAAATCCTGAAAAAATGATATTGATATGAACAAACATTTGTCATGAAAAGCAAAATACTGACATGAATGATATTTTCCAGAGTACACATTTCACATACAGATGTTATGGTATGAAACAAATCTATGAGAATCAGTTGACTTAACTAAGGTGTATTTTAAACTGAATATAAATTTTAAGATTTTTCTTAAACCACAGGTGGAAGATCTCTCTTATGCAGAATGTGACCATGGCATTCTTAAACCACAGGTGGAAGATCTCTCTTATGCAGAATGTGACCATGGCAATGGATACACCTGAAATATTTGATAAGAGGAAATTTATACATGAAATGAACTAACAGGTTTCCTTTGGTCTGGGGACACCATTATCCTAAATAATAATAATGATAATATAATAATAAAAAGAATGTGGACACTACTTCAAGATGTAACCCCTGTAGCTATAATTTTTACCAAATGTGGAGGGCAGGAAAGAGCTGCACACTCAGCAGTAGGAGCAGACAGTCTGTGGCCACCAGAGACATTTCTTATTTTCCATCAGGAGACATCATCTTTTGACGACTGAACAGGGACCTTAGAGCCACCAGGGAAAACTGCTTTTGACCACAGCGGTGGGCCAGGGGCAACGTCATGAGCAGGAGGCCCAGTGATGGGTCCTATGGTAGATGACTCATCCTGCCCCATCTGCTTTTCTTAGTGTGCTGGGGAACTCAGGTGTGCCTTCCTTGGGCTCTTTTTCAGTGGCCAATGTTACCACTGCCAGAAGAGCATGTTCACCACTCCTCTGAAATGAACATTTGCAAGTGAAGCTCAGGGACTTCTGTGCTGGCCTGAGCAGGATCTCTGTACACTGCCCTGTGACCAGCATGGAGGCCTGCCTCATGCTTCTTGAAGCTCACTGCTTTCTCTTTGGCTCTGGATCACTGTGGCTGCTGGGGAGCCATCTTGAGTGTAGATAACCATGCTTGTCAACTGTTCTGTGGCACTGGTGCCCACAGCCTCAGCACTGAGTGCAGCCCCAGCCTGCAGGATCTCTGGAGAGCTGGCTGTCTCTATCACAGTGTGCGAGTACATGCCTGTGTCCTCCTGCACTCCTGGAGGCAATTCTGTCACGATGTAGTGAGTGGCACCCTCAGGGAAGCTGTTGCCAGACTCACGGACCATAGCCTGGACCAGCTCATCTGTTACGATGATCTGTGAGATCTCTCCTTCTGACTCTACCAGGTCCACATGTTCAGCTGGCACCCGTAGGCCATGGGTCTCAGCCTCCTGCATGATGAATTGGGAGCCCTCTCCAGCTACCATGTGGACAGCACCCTCCTCATTCACAATGACCTGGGTGATGCCATCCTTCATCAGCTGGCTGGCTGCAGCTGTGTCACACACAGCAAACTGAAGGACTCCTTGAACCATTTTCTTGAAGGCCACCTGGGCTCGTTCTTGAGACGTGATGATGGTCGAGGGCCGGACAACCTGGGTGAGCACTTCCATAGCTTCTGGACTCTCCTGACCATCTTGGAACATCTGAGTTCCTGGGGCCTCAGTGTGAGCATCAGCATGGGATGCTTCTTGGCTGGGCAGCTGGATCAGCACATCCTTGTGGCTGGGCCTGCCCTTCTCCTCATGCCCCACCCTGCTCTCCACCTCTCCCAACTCTGTGACCGCACACAGCAGTGCATCTAAGGCTGAGGAGGTGTCAGATGGAGGGACTCCAGCCTCGGAGAGACTTAAAATCTCCTGCTTGGTAACCTGCTGTATCACAGCACCACCTGGACTGAGGGCCTCATCCGCACTGTGATCTTCCATGGAGCCCCCCATGACGACCACTTGGGTGGCTCCGTCCACCAGCTCCTCTGGGAGAATGGGTCCAGGTACCATACTGCTCACGTGCGCCCCGTTCTGACTTGTAGCAATGACCTGCCCGTGTTCTGTGATGTGTACCACCCTGGCCACTTGGCCAGCCATTGCCAGTGTCTGCAGTGTTGCTGCTGCGGTCTCCTCCACAGAGGCATCCAGGGCAAACTCCCCATCGTAGCCCTGGATGATGATGACCTGCTGCACCTGCTCAGGGGGCGAGGCCTGCCTCTTGCTGCTCCTCAGGGATTTCTCTTTGACAGGTGAGTCCTCTGCCAGGGTGGCCGCAGTGAAGGGGCTGTCTGTCTCCACAAAGGTGGCCCCCTGTCCTTTCAAGCGGCACTCGTAGGACTTGGAGACAATGCCTGTGGGAGACAGGGACTAGTTAGAACTTGAAGGACTTTTAGATTTAGAGTAAGAGCCCTTCTGCAGCCACTGTGTGACCTCAGCAGAGAAAGCCCCCACCTGGCTCTGCAGAGGCCAAGAAGCTTATACTAGAAGCATCAGAAGGCTGTTCACCTTCCTGTACCTTCACAGGGGTACTATGTGATGCACCTTTTCTCACACTCCTGTGACACCTGTTCAAACTGACTCTTTCCAGAAATGTTGGCTTGTAGGGGATCTGGGGAGGCATACAGCCGGCTCCCTTAGTGTGATGGTTAATACTGTCAATTTAACAGGGTCTAAAATTACTGAGAGGAACGCCTTAGGGCACACTTGTGAGGAATTATCTAGATTAAGTTAGCCTCTAGGCAGGTCTGTGAAGGATTATCCAAATTAAGTTAATTGAGGTGGGAAGGCCCAAGGTAACTATTAGAAATGCCATCCATGGCCTGGGGTCCTGTACTGGATAAAAAGGAGAAAGCGAGCTGAGTATTCATTGCTCTTTGCTTCCTGGCTGCAGATGCAGTGTGACCAGCTGCCTCAAACTCCTGCCTCCATGGACTGCAGGCCTAATTCTATGACAAAATAAACCGTTTCTCACTTGAGTTGCTTCTTGACAGGCATTCTGTCACAGCAGTGAGAAAACTACTAAGTCACCTTCATCTCCAACAGGAATGGTGGTAAATGAAGTCAGCTAAGAGGCTGCAGTAGGATCTTTTAACCCAAAGGAAAATCTTTTCTCAATGTCCAAATGTTAAGTACAGTATATTTGTTTAATCAATAAGGATAAAAAAAAATCTTTGCAGACTAAATTAAAAAAAAATGCCACTAAAAACACAGCTGAAAGAGTTCATAGCAACAAATCTTTATTGCGTATCTACTTTGTGTCAGGCACTGAACCAAACTGAAAAGGTTGCCCAGTGAGGCCACTGTGAGCCACTGAAGGCTGGGCACTGTGCCTGTTACTCTGTCACGTCCGGAGGACAGAAATACTAACAAAGGGCCTGGGTACTCAGGGATCTGGAAGGGAGCCTGCTCTGGGAGCCCAGGCCACAGATTCCTTCACCTTGTTCAGTCCAGTCAGGTGCCTAGCACTGACACACTCAACAAGGCAGGGTCTGCTGACACTTCCGTAGTGGCTCAGACACTGGAAAGTGGTGGCAAGCACAACTGCAGAGATGAAGAGGCTGTGTAGTAAGGCTGTATGACAGAGTATTCAGGGAAAGACCTGTTAAGGAACACTTGGCCCTGCCAGAAGGACAGGCAGACTGGGGCCATGCCTAGAAGGCCAGAAGGTGAGCCCTACAGGCAGACAGAGCAAGAAGGCTCCTGAGCATGCTCACATACCTTGTGCTAAGGCAGCTGTGGGAAAAACAAACCTGCTGAATGCTTTTAAACAGAAAAATTAGATTTGCAAGAGGGGCAACACAAAAGGTTTTTCTATGTCAGTCTAGAATTTCTGTTAGTGGCAACTCTATGACTCTTGAAAACACAGTAAGACTTTTGGAACATGGGCAGAGATGATAAGGGATGAGATGATTGAACTGCTCTGTGGGACAAGGAGGGAACAGAAAAGAGGTATGGGGGTGAAGTAAGGAGGTGAGCCCTGGCAGTCACTTGGACTGGGGCCATAAGAGACCAGAAAAGAGCTGGTACAGGCTCCTGCCCTGTCACTCATCCAGCCGTGTCCAGCCCAATCTGTGGCTTGAGGGTCACAAGCCCTTGGATGAACTGTGTACCCCAGGAAGGCCGGGTTTAGGGACCCTGACAGGCCTGACTTGCTTCAGTAGGGAAAGTGTTAAGTCCAACTCACAGGAGCAGCACTGGATGGAGGGGAAGGAGGCCTGTAGTGAGGATGGATGCAGGGCACATGCTTGCGTACTTCATGGTATGACCTAACTGCTCAACAGGGTAAAAGACGATGTAAGCTATAAACTTCGGTTTCATAATATAGAGAATGAGTCTAATCAGAGCACCTGTTTTCTCCTCCAAATTTCAATTCTTCTACTAGTTTTTACATTCGCCACCTCCCCTCCCAAACAAGAGAATGGTCTATATTCAATATTCCCTGTGTCAACAGCACCTGTATTTATGAGACAAATCCCTTTACACCTCTCATTTACATGTGTCAGTTTGGGAAAATGGGATCAAGACCTGTTGTTGATTATTTATTGCTGGCATCCCTTAAGAACAGCAATTTTGCTTACGGAGTTGGTGGTGTTCAGCAAGAAGACTTTCTTTTCAACACCAAGTTAGCCCTGAGTGCTGGCCTAAGACAGGGCCTTTGAGTGGGGACAGCACCTCAGGCAAATGGGAGAAGCTGCTGGTATGTGTATTAAGAGAGCACATCCAGTTGTCAGATTACAGGACAGTGCTCCCAGAACTGGAAGTATTCACTAACTGCTAAGCATTATCATTTCTTCTATCTTGGAGAAATCTCTTTAGTGTAGGCTTTAGAAGGGTTATGCAGTCACAGAATCTTAGTTCAAGAGAAGTCTGGGGACGAGCTCTACTCCTGGAAGCTCTTCCTGAGAGCTCATCTAGGTATCACAGAATGCTACAACAGGGAGCTGGCTGCTCAGACTGGCTCGTCAGGGTAAGCCAAGGAGACAGGACTACAGTACTTAAGGTCATCTAGCCCTTCCCCACAAAGGTCCTCCATGTCCACAAGTCTAGTTAAAAGGACTCTGTACCTGGTGTGGGCCCTTGCTTTCTCCCATTCACTTCTCTTGCAAGAATGGAGCACAGGTGGGGACCATTAAGCCAGGCTACCGGTGAGATGGTATACATAAGCACTGTTTTGGTAGTACCTGCAGGCCTGCAAACCAAATGCTTGTGCCTCTGGTTCTTATCTGGGGATTTGGAGCACCTGTCTGTGGGAGTCTTAAGGGCTTTGCTTGCAGGAACCTGCTTGTAGTTCAGAGCTCCTATGACCTTGCCTACTCTTTCTACCTTTCAAAAGAAAAACAGCCCTTTATCTTTCCTGGACCTGTGCCTCCCCATGGGATACCAGAGTTTGAATGATAAGGGAGAGAGTGGCAAAAGCCTAAATAGCTCAGTCAGATCTGACTGGCTTCACCTGGCCTCAAGTTGTCATTTGAACTTTCACCTGTCCTCAGTTCTCTTCTCTGAGCAGTCAGATTGCAGCTCCATAGAGCTGCATGGTTCTACTGCATCTATGCCTGGGTTTGGGTTGGCCTATCTCCTGATCAGTCTGCATCCTCTGGGTCCTCCAGCCCTAACTCCTGGTATGCATGCAATTTTCCCCTATTTTCTGCTTTCCACCCTAGGAAGCAGTAGTCTGCTTGCCTTACTTATGTTCTGATTTTGAATTGTTTCTATCCATTCTAATTTCAAGGCTGTTCACAGTATAATTTGGGGGGAGAGGGAGGTGGATGGCATAAAAAGAGAATGTAGCATTCCACTTATTCTCTCTTCCATTAATTACAAAAGAAGGAAATATTGCCAGTACACTAAAAACCAGGTGAAACCACAGAAGTTGGGGAAGAAAGAGCAACATTCTAGTCTTAAATAGCAAGAAAGGTTACTTGCTTGAGCTTAAACAATCCCATTCTTCGCTGGGAGAGGGAACGGAAAATCTCTTGGGTGGCAAAAGGATCCTTTGAGTCCCTTGCAGCACTGGTAATTACGCATTCTGAACTACTTGCTGAATTTATTTGAATCCAGAAGTGGGTTAAGCCACTTCCGGACCATTAAAGTAAACTGCGTGGGTAAATACTGCTGTCATTTGGGTCTGTGATGAAGCTTAATGCCACCAACATCTTAACCTCCGGCAGCACAGCCCCAGCTAGTCCATCACAGTTCATAAATGTGAGTGCAGGTCCGTCTTTTGATTCAGCAATTTAATAACTTCGAGTGCTGTCAGTACGCCTTTGAAAAATAGTACCTATAAAATGTAACAGCCTCAATCAGATTGAAAAAGATTCTCCCATTGAAGATTCTTCCATTTCAACCATAATGAATTAATGTGGGTCTATGTAGAAGTTCAAGTGTCATTTAAACGAATGTGAATCTCTGCTATAACTTTGAATTCCAACTGGGCTACGATCAGGAAGTTACTGGGCACATGAGCTAGTGAGCATGGACGTTCACAGTGCAAATAGTCGCACGAATGTGGCATTGGTAAACAGGCTCTCTGTAGGTTTTCTCCTGGTTGGCCTGGTCACTGCTGACGCTCCTGCAAGCACACCGACCTTGAAGAGTGTATGGATGCCCAGTCAACATTTGTGTTGCACTCATTTTTAAGATACTATCAGATTTTGGTAGCAAAGCAGAGTGCCTAAACTCAGTCCTTGGACCTGTTTCCAACAGGACAACACAGCCAGGTGCAGAAGCTCAGCATGAAGCTAAAAGGCAGTACTGCGCCTGCTTATGAAACCCATTATTGCCCGTTTGCTTCCATGAGTACAAAGATTCTGTGCTGCATATTGCCTGGTGGCTAAATGTAATGTGTTGAAAGTTACCACTTAGTGGAAAGAAAGTGTTTTTGTGTGTGTGTGTATGAGGATCTGTTTTCAAAGGAGATGATTTTGGATTAGCCTTGCTTTTCTAAACACAGTAATGAGGCTACAGCCCCTCCTGGAAGCCAAGGGTCCCAGAGCTGGAAACAATGCCACCCTGTGGGGGAGGGGTAAGCTATGAAGGCTGGTGTTCCCCCAAACCTTGCTAGGACTTGCTCCCTCTCTTCTGTGCTTCTGGAAGCTACGGAGAGGGCTGAGCACCTGATTCCTTCCTTTGTGTGTGTGTGTGCTGTTGTATGGTTACTGTCATCTTTTTTCCCCACAGAATAAATACCTTATGCTTTTGTTAAGCTTACATTTAATTAAAATGTACAGAATTTGTGCAGTAAACTCGAATGAAACAAATAAAACAAGGGCCCCTCTCTTGAAGGCATACGTTGTGAATGAAAAATGTCATTACAGACTAAAAAATTTTGCAGTAAACAGGGCCTACAGAGAGA